ACTCAAACATCAATTTATTATATCTATTGTTGAGAACACAATAGAACCACAGAACATTTGTGATATTTATAGATCTAGACAGATGCCTGGGTTAATGCATTATTTTATAAAGGGCTCTAAAACATTAATGTAGAAAAAGAGACGAATATTGAGTAGCTGCCGGTTAAAATTCACTGAGTGCTGCTGCGAATTTATGTTAAAACAGCTTGCCATATTCGGTATCTCTTCTCATCCTCGTAGCGACTCTGTAGAGAATAGCGAGCCCAAATAATGTTCTGTCCCAAAGCGACAGCTGCCATGATGTTTGATCGAGAGGAGGGACTAGAGAGCAGAGCGAGGAAAAAACACGGAACACAGACAGCTGCACCCAGTTACTGTTGGCTGAAGGAAATCAGCCAATAGGGGTAAGAAGTGGAAATTATTGGTGGGGACATGTCCATCATGTCCAAAGTTGGTGGGGACATGTCCACCATGTCCAAAGTTGGTGGGGACANTCCACCATGTCCAAAGTTGGTGGGGACATGTCCACCATGTCCAAAGTTGGTGGGGACATGTCTCCACCAGTGCTTCAGAAAGTTACGCCAGTGCACCCGTCCCCTTACTTTACAAGCTGTCCCCGTCCATTGCTATGTGGTGTTCAGGGCCGACGGTCAGCCTACCTGGGTGCTAGCATCTTTGGTGTGGCTCTGCTGCATGGCCCAGGCTGAGATCACGTTGAAGCCTTTAACCACCACACTGTCTGGCAGCAGGGAGGCCAGATACTCCGCATTGGATTCTGGATACTGGTTTACTCTCCGATTGTTGCTCACATCCACCAGGACCTTCCCTGTGAAGCAAGCAGACACCCCCTCATTATATAGAAGGTAGACCTCTGCCCAGGCCTGCTAAAGATGCCAACCAGAGCCTTGGTCTAAGCTAAGTCTGCTCAACATCCATGTCTGGGATCAAGGAGATGCACAGATGGCAGCTCAGAGTTCATAGCTGAGCAGCCATCTGATCTGAAGCAGTAGCATGGACCTAAAGGTTCTGAACAGGACAACCACAATGTTCTACTGTCCCTGTTCACCTGTAACCGTGGTGACATGGAGGCAGCGCCTTCTTTAGACCATCAGAAACTTTAGGAACTGATCAATCACTGCTAACAGTCTGTCCTTCCTCTTCAGTTCTACTACCACACCTCACCAGGCTGTGTCCATTATGCTGCACAACAGATGCCTTAAAACTGACGTTTCTCTGCAGAGAGGATTCCCTGAGTGGGAGTGTGATGGTACCTGCCATAAGATGCTTGAGGTCCCATAACTGAGAGTAGTGTTCCCGGTGGAGAGCGAGGAACACGACGTTAGACTTCCTGAGGGCTTCCTCATAGTGGGACACGTCCACCACATGAGGAAAGGAGTGAGAGGCCAGTTTGGGACGACGGCTGCCCACCACCACCTTGAACCCACAGCGAAGTAGACGAGAGGTGATGCCCTTGGAGAAGTCGCCTGACCCCAGAACAGCCACAGTGGCAGGGAGCAGGCCGGGTACTGCAGAAGCTGCAGGAGTGCTGCTGACGCCGCAGTGGAGCATACAGGTGGGTGGGTGACCGAGGTGTGAGGAAGAGGCTGTGAGGAAAACGGGGCTCCTGGAGCATCCCTTCATGGAGATGATATCCATCCTTTCCACTTGACCCCTGCTCTTCTCTACGCCTCTGTCCAGGAGCTCCTCAGCAGACCTACGGACCAGAAAAGAGGGTTGGTTAGGTAGTCTTCAATCGCTAGAGAGGAGGTCCATGTAGGACCTGTTCTCCTCCACATTACTTGGAGCTACTGATCAGATGGAGATCCTAAACAAAACTGGAGCACAGAAGAACTCACACCAGGCCAGATTGGCACGAAACGGCTCTACATAGAGGAACTAATCTCACACACATCTGGTTTTATATTCATACTGAGGACCAGTTCTTGGACCCATGGATTTCCAGTCATGACCAAAACCTTCAATGCAATGACCCTACAAATGAAGTGAACCTAACCATTACCAGAGCATAGCCAACCCTAACTATTAAC